AATCGATTACCGTGACCACGCCTTCGTCGTGGGATCGACGAACCCTAACCTCCAACCCCTCAACGACCTCATGGTGGCTGCGGAGCAGGCTGGTAAGAACGGAAACGAGCTGCAGGCCATTGAAGACCAGTGGACTGCCCAGGCTGGCCTGAAGCTGTTCAGCGAAGCTGTCATCGACACCATCAACAAGGGCTCCTCTGGTAACAAGAAGGCCCTCATTGATGAGTTCCTGACGAAGGCCAAGGGCAAGAGCAACCGCGAAGCCCGGGCTATCGCCAAGGACATCACTGGAGTCGACGTCTACTGGGACTGGGACGCCCCTCGCACCCGGGAGGGCTTCTACCGGTACCAGGGAGGTACCCAGTGTGCGGTGAACCGCGCCATTGCATATGGACCTTTCGCGGATCTCATCTGGATGGAGAGCAAGCTGCCCGACTATGCTCAGGCGAAGGAGTTCGCCGACGGCGTTCACGCCGTGTGGCCGGAGCAGAAGTAAGTGTGGTCTTGATTTGCATTGGTAAGGCCTTGACACTGACATGTCCCTTTAGGCTGGCGTACAACCTGTCGCCCTCGTTCAACTGGAAGAAGGCGATGCCGCGCGATGAGCAGGAGACGTACATCAAGCGTCTGGGAGCCCTGGGATACTGCTGGCAGTTCATCACCCTGGCGGGTCTGCACACGACGGCGCTGATCACGGATCAGTTCGCCAAGGCGTACGCGAAGCAGGGAATGCGGGCGTACGGCGAGTTGGTGCAAGAACCGGAGATGGAGCAGGGAGTGGATGTGGTGACTCACCAGAAATGGAGTGGTGCCAACTACGTGGATAATATGTTGAAGATGGTGACGGGCGGCATTAGCAGTACGGCGGCTATGGGCAAGGGTGTCACGGAGGATCAGTTCAAGCACTGATGATGGAGGGGTGAGTAGTTGGTGGCTGACTGCAGATCTGCATATTGCTTTTCTTTCTTTTTCTTCTATATTATTCATGGTTTCCATTTTGTTCCCGTGAGCTAGCTTTTGATTTATCATCGTATATACCACAATGTGATAGTTCGTTGACATTAAGTTGATGAGGGTGATGAGCAGGGGGAAAAATAAGCTCCTAAGCTATCCGCAAACAGAATCCCTTGCGAGGCAAGTGGGTCGCGTGCATGACTCAACCCGTAGCTGTCATTTGTTAATTAAAGATAAGTCAGTAACATGTGAGCAGTGGCCAACAACGGTTCTCCGTTCGTAAAAAGCAGACCTTGCGAGTGGAAATGTCCTCGGTTGTGCCGCGGAACAGATGAGGGGAAAAAGGGAGGGCATGTGCCCGGAAATGGATGATGGACGGAGAATGCATGGGGGTTTTTCTGCCCCTAAAAAAAAGAACGGCTCGGTGAATTTGCTGATCACCAATCCACCCGGTCCTCGGTCGGCGGAATGCTGGCTGCTGCTCATCATATTAGCTGGCCTGACGAACATCCTCACCTCCAGTTGTTTCTTCGTATTCCCTTACTCATTACTCATAGGAGTAGATAAGGCACTCGTCACGGTGCTTCTGAAAGAATCAGGGGCTTGTCAGAAACAAGAGCTCCGCATTCGGATTCCTTCTTAAACTACTAGTTCTTCTCGGCTGAACTTCCGCCTTTTTTGATCCTTCGTTCCTCTCCTCCTGTTCCCATTCCCTCCCTCCTGTCATCTTCATCCCTTCCCCTCTCTCTCTCCACCACCTTAATTTACTCACCATGGGTGCCATTGAAATCCCTCCTCTGGAGTATACTCCTGTTGACGAGGTCGCTGAACGCGTCTCTCGCTGCCGCAAGACTTTCCATGAGCATACCACTCGCGATGTGGAGTACCGGCTGGTCCAGCTCCGGAAGCTTTACTGGGCGTGAGTTGCTGTCCCAAAGTACCTTATTTCACTACCTTTCGGGTAGCTCCCCGCATGGCTTTAATATGTAACTAATTAATCTACTGCACGCAATAGCATTAAGGATCGTGTCGACGAGATCCATGAGGCTTTGCGTCTTGATCTGAACCGGCCTCTCTTTGAGGCCGTCATGGCTGAGAGTACCTGGCTGCTCAATGACATTGTCTTCGTTTGCCGCAATCTCCCCAAATGGGTCAAGGATGAGAAGGCCGAAGACATCGACCTCACCTTTAAGTTTACCAGTCCCAAGATCCGCAAGGATCCTTTGGGTTGCGTCTTAGTTATTGGGTATGTTTTTCCTTTTTGTTTTTGATTTCTGTGGGATTTTCAACAAAAATTTCTCCCCTCCCCCCTATTTTGTTTTGGTTGGGGTTTGAGACAAGGCTAACGGCGACCATTATGGGGTCAGTGCTTTCAATTACCCTTTCCAGTTGACGCTGGGTCCAGTTATTGGCGCTATCGCAGCGGGTAACACCGTTGTCATTAAGCCTAGTGAAAAGTCCTCCAACTGTGCGGTGGTCATCCAGCAGATTATCGAGGCTGCTCTTGACCCCTCCGCCTACACCATTGTTCAGGGTGCTATTCCCGAGACTCAGGCCTTGTTGGCCGAACGCTGGGACAAGATCTTCTTCACCGGCAGTGCTAATGTCGGTCGCATCATTGCTAAGGCAGCGGCTCCTAACCTCACCCCCATTGTTCTGGAGCTGGGTGGCATTAACCCCGCCATCATCTCCAAGAATGCCGACCCCCGACTGGTCGCGCGCAGACTATTCTGGCCCAAGCTGATGAACGCTGGTCAACTCTGCACGTCGCAGAACTACCTGCTGGTCGAGAGGCCGCTTGTCGATGCTGTCGTGGAGGAGTTCAAGAAGGTCTACAAGGAGTTCTACCCCCAGGGTGCCAAGGGCTCTGCGGACTTCTCCCATATCATTGACGATGCTTCTTTCCACCGTATCAAGGGCATGATCGACAACACCAAGGGCAAGATTGTCATGGGTGGCAGCATGGACGAAAAGGAGCGCTTCATTGAACCCACCGTTGTTGTAGTCGACTCGCCTGAAGACTCCATGATCACACAAGAGAGCTTTGGTCCTCTCATTCCTATCCTGCCTGTTGACAGCGTCGAGCAGGCTGTCCAGATCGCCAACGGCGTCCAGTCCACGCCTCTGGGCCTCTACCCGTTCGGTTCCAAGGCGGAAGTTGAGCAGAGTATGTTTCTGGAGCTGTATAATTTACCGTACAACTTAAAATACTAACGTGCTGCAGTCCTGTCACAGACCCGCTCCGGCGGTGTTGCCGTCAACGACGCCGCCCTGCACATCCCCACCCTCCCCTTCGGTGGTGTTGGCGAGAGCGGTCAGGGTGCTTACCGGGGTAAGGCCAGTTTCGATGTCTTTGTGCACCGTCGCACAATCACCACTAGCCCTAGCTGGATCGAAAGCTTCCTCGCCATCCGCTACCCGCCCTACAACGGCAAGGAGGAGCTCTTCAAGAAGGCTACTACTTTGATTCCCGACTTTGACCGCGACTGCAAGAAGGTCCAGCTGAGCTGGCTCAGATACTTCTTGACTCTTGGTGGCGGCAGTGCCAAGTCCGGTGCTGCTCGTGCCACTGTTGTTGCTGCTGGTGAGTGATTCTTTCACTATCAACACATGTCGTTTTTCTGCTTCAACCCCTTTCACTACTGCGTATCGTTTGTTTGATATGCCAGACTTCTTACCTCCGCATCCCCTTCAGACCGAGAGTGAATTATCCCGCACGTCGCTTCCACGTTAATTGGATACCCCGATACCCTGGATACGTAATTTACATATACACTAAACATAATATTTATTGATAATATTGCTTAATGTTCTACACATAATGTTTTGCTTAACTTTCACACGATGTACGAGCATTTACTTACATATCTATGATTAGTGGCTTATATCGCACGTCAAGTGCTCGAGCGCCGATTGGCGAAGCTCTAATTGCGCCAGCATATCTTTACCTATTTCGGTCTTCTATTTGGAGTTAGTCTTGCTTTTGGACGACTATAAGACCGTGTGCCATTCGTTGATCATTTCCTTTCCTTTCGTTTCTTTTCCTTTTGGTCTGTTCTGTGGTTCTTGTTTGGGATGGGGGTCGATTCACCATGTATGTAAAATGATCTGACTAGCTGAAAGTATGCGAACATGACGAGGTAGGTGGGTGGGTAGGCATGTACATACGGAGTAGGAGTGAAGCTATCTAACTAAGATTGAGTGGTTTATGTCGATCTTCATCAATTAGGTAATTCGGAGTAGTTAGTTAGCTGTTAGCTCGCTTAGGAAGTCGAGTGTAGATCATACATGTGGAGAAAAGTAGCCTCCAAGTTGTTGACGTGACGCTATCCTTAAGCCTTCAGGTCGCGTAGGGGTAGAACATCTCCAGGCAAGGTTTCTTCATATGATCAAATATTTATATCACAGGCCTACTTCCAAGTAGTATAAATTTTACGGATCTGAATTCAATTATATATCCGTCGAATATCTATATCTAGCCAGCTATTATCAGTTAGTTAATGAAATTACACACACAACTAGCCAACTTAACTATCTTTACCAAAAGATGAATAAAAGAAATAGATACTAGTAAGAGCAAAGACACTAACTAACATTATGAACCCAAAGATTAGTAGTAACTTAGTAGTAGAACCATCCATCAACCCCAACTACTAACTAAACCAGGATAATGACAGCCACTGACCTACAATCAACCATCACGATGTTCCTTTTTTTTTTTTTTTTTTTTTTTTTCTTTTCCTTTTCCCTTTTCCCTAGATACAGAACCTGATGATGATGGATCGCACGGATCAGACGAGGGGGGTTAAGAAGACCTGCTATCTTATTCCACAAGCGGAAGGCACGTTGCAATAAATGCATTAAAAATTTCTTGATATATATCTAGTAAGAGACAGACGGTCGCATTGATTAACACCTATAAAAAGAAGAAAATAAAAAGGTTACGCTTTCAACATTCAGAACAGAGAAACCCATGAAGCGAGAGACCACGCCGCGAAACCCGTCAATCCCAAAAAAGCACAAAGAGAAAAAGCATACAAAAACTTGGTATCAACAGCCATGATTCTCCATGATAGCTCTGAACGAAGGGTCACGCAGAAGCTGGGTTGCGGTCAGACGCTTCGCCGGGTCGTAAGTAAACACACGAGACATAATAGAAAGCACATGGCTCCGCTCCACTGGGTCGGCGTCGGGACAAAAGCTTGCAATTCTAGACTCAAGAGTCCATTTGGGATCGGGAGTTTGATTATGGTCATACCAGGAATCACGGCTCTCGGGATGAGTATAGAGTCCCTTCCACTCCTCGGGCAGAGGACCTAAAGACAACACGAAAACACCAATAATTCCACCATTGAAAAACGTAGAAAAAGGCACGTTGCCAAGGTAAAGTTCCGAGAAGAGGATCATATAATTCCACATGTCGCAGGCAGGACTGGGATCTTGTCTATGCAGGCGGTCCGGGGAGCAATATTGTAATGGTGGATAGCCACGTGGAGTCACGGGATCGCTCAGTTTCTTTGCCAGACCAAAGTCGCTGAGATAGAATTTTTGGGTTTGTAGGCTTTGGGAGATATTAGCAGGTCCAACGAGCTCCCCTTCCTTCCAGAGATCGTCCACCGGTTCATTTGCTTCAATGGCCGGCCCAATGCCTTGTATTTAGCACTCCTGGGTAGAAGGTGGAGGGGTTGCATTCCCGACATACAATTTCTCTCATTCAAATCTGTTTGAAATAAAAACATCAGCATGCGGGCGAATAGAGAAAAGAGCAGGATTTTTCGGTGTCACTCACCACGGTGGACTATTCCGGCCTCGTGTAAACTCTCCGACGCCTCTAGCAATTGCAGAGCAGCGGACATGCGAGTAGTCATGGACATTTAAATCACGTTCGGACAGTAAAGACATGGGCCCATTAAAGGAAATACTTGAACCGTATGGTGACATCCATCTCCTGGAAGTAGAAAGGTTTCCAGATACGTCACAAAATGAGAGGAGGCATCACGCACATTCCGAACGATTTCGTCCTGCAGGCGGATCTCACTTTCACCCGATTCTCCTGCAAACATAATCTTGAGGGCAACGTCCCTGCTATTTTGCTGGTCATTGGCCATCCAGACAGTCGAGAAGCCGCCGGATCCAAGCTTATGCTCTACCAGGTACCTCTCATTGATCAGGTCTCCAAGGCGGATGGGATAGAAGACATCTGAGGTTATCTTTTTATCATATCTGTCCCAGGGCTCGGCAACCTCTTCTAGGTCCATTTCCTCGTCTTCATTACGCACGAAGTCGCCGAAGTCTTCCTTGCCATCTTGGTTGCAGTATTGATTTGCTGCTGTCATTTCGATCACACCTGTTATACCACTCGAAGGTACTACTTCGATGCCAGCAGATTTTGGGGGGACCGATACGGAGTTGAGAGATGGAGGTGGTAAATTTGTTCAACGAGGACGGGGCTTGTATTATTGTTGGTTTGGTACGAATATCAATTTATCCGTAATACGTGAAACAGTTCAGACAAATCTGGCAAGCTGACACACTTGCGGAGTAAATTCACTAGTCCATTCGCATGTGTTGGGGATGTGCGGGTGAGGAGTGTGAACTGTGAGGAGTTGCCGCGACGGATTGATGAGGCGTTTGGGGTGGCGTTGAGGGGGAGGCTGGGGCCTGTGGTTGTGGAGGTGCCGAAGAATGTGGGGGTAGGGGTTTAGTTTCGATGTTCTATTGTACTGGGGTGGGTTGGAGGTAGATGTGGGATTGAAGTGTTGTTGGCAGGTCTATGTATATGGTTTGATAGTAGGGAAGTATTGATGATATGGTATTTAAGTAGGTAGTGGAAGTGACTGTAATATTATACCTCCTCGTTGGGTAACTGTGTTCTTTTCCCTCGGTTGTTTCGTATTACCTGTTCCGCTGTAGTATGTGTGACTACCACCTCTGTGGTGAGCACGATTCCCGCTGATTCTTGACGGGTCAGGATGTATTCCTCGCTGGTGTGGCTGCCATCGCGGTAGTGGTATTTGGTCGTTGTTGTTCCGTACTTGGAGTTTCTCTGGGCAGCACGGGGATCGCCTTCTTCCAAATCCTCCGGGTCCAGAACGCTGAGGGGTCTGCTGCGCACGGATGGCTGTGGGTAGGATGGGGATAACGATTGTAGTCGGTACTTCTTGCTACCGTATGTGTAGCGCCGTGTTTTAGTTTGGGATCCATATGTGCCCAGGAATTGTTTGAAGAGGGGCTTCAGTGTGGGCAGGCTGCCTGCTATAATGCCCATGTTGGACTCGACGCTGTGGTGGGTTTGTTAGTATGGGTGATAAACGGTGGGGAGGTTTGCGTACACGACCCAGATTGTGAGGGTAGAGTAGTCCCATAGGAGGTCGCCGGTGCGACCATAGTTGGGCAGGACAGAGAGCTTAACGATTGCTGCGGCGCAGGCACTGAAGTTTGGTTAGGGGATGTAATTATGAGGGAAGGAGGGGGATATATTGGTTGCTTACAATATCCCCAGTCCCAATATGCAGACCAACGAGGCTTTCACACGTCGGTTAACCTGCAGGTGTCTGTGGCTGTTAGTTGAGAAAATCGTGCAGTTTTGAGACGAGGACAAACCGTAGCATTATCGCCGGTAAAATGGCAAATATGATATCTGTCAAAACATTCAGACCTGGGATCGTCAGCAATGTCCTAAGAACATGAGCAAGTTCCCTACCGGTATTTGTGTAGCTCAATTTTAGGAGCTGTGGGGATGTGAAACACTGTGATTTCACATTCTCATCCCAGATGGATCGGATATCTTTACACTCAAACATGAGTGTCTGCCATCATTAGTAGTGATTCATTATACAGGACGGGAGTGACAAACAAGAAAGCATATTATGGTATAGAGTAGCATGACCACTGCCACAGTCATTAGCCATTGATGGAATAGACAGAGCAGGACTAGCTGATCAAAGCAGTTCCCATCTCCCTGCAATTGTCCAGCATACAGCTAGGTTCATGACATACCCATTACTACCCAGATGAATATCTTATAGCCCCGTCGCGGGGCAAACCGGAGGAGAAACAGCCCAATGGAGATCTTGACGAGCCCGATTGCCCACATATAAATTCCCTGAGTGGCGAAATTTAGGTGTGTCGCTATCGAGGCCGTATTTTCCACATAGACCGTATGTCTTCCTGCACCATATATGACCTCTGGGATTATCACAGCAAATCCACCGAGTGACTATGGGCGTCAATGTCAGATTCCAGGCTGCTAGAGCGTCGGGAGGGGAGGTTACAAGTGCCATTGTCAACACCATGACATAATCCTAGCTGCAGGTCAGTGTCCATTCTCCGGCTGCTTTTTGTCCTATACTCACATCGGGCCCAACATTTCGGATGAAAAACACACGGACATACATCCGGGCTAGGACCGTGAGTAATGCAAAAGCCGTGGTGATCGATGTAGCTGCCAAGATTTGGGGTCCCTGGCTCACATCAGGCAAGCCCGCGCCCCCCAGATGAGAATTAGCCGCCATAGTCGCACTCAAACTGGGGTATGCTTGTCATGGTACGATCATGAGTATCCTTAGAAAACAGAGGGGGCAAATGGGCGATATAGCATCGGGTCACCCAGATCGCAGGATCAGAGCTTGCGAAAGCCTTCCACACGCGCTAGCGGCCTATTCTGCCGGTCGTATGCTTGTAATCCTTCTCCAGGAGCGTCGCAATGAAAGATAACGCTAGGGAACTAGAGGAATGACTAGGAAGTTAGGATTTCTTGCTGCTCTGGATTCCGGTGGTAAAGGATCCCACTACCAGGATCTCCGATGCTAGAACTGGTAACCATCTGCTTCGTTGTCCATGCCGCAATCGACCCGTCCATTTCAGCTCTGCCACCTTCATCTGTCAGGTACAATCTAATCAATTTCGCTTAATCTCGGCGAGAGGACCCGGTTGGCCCCCTGGCAAGGCCTCCAATAGGTCACGGTCTCTACAGTATGTCCGAGGCATTAAGGACGGCTGAACAGGAACATGACCAATGGGATAGTTCATGTCCATGTGTTGAACCTTGAACGCTCAGGTAGAACCTCGGAACGGCTCAACGACGTTTGTGAGTGGAGCTGACATCGTGCCATCCGCGCATCAGCTTGGAGTCCCACACACCAAACACAGGCCGAACGCGAAACCCCTGGCGATTCCCCTGTAAGAGTACGTGTACGTCCTCGAATCTGTTTATTCCTGTCATTGCGTGCGGATATCTCCGGCGGCACAGCACAGTTGTTTACTTAGCGTAAGAGCTAGAGTTAGGGTTCATCTAGATATAAATTAATTTCTCTCGCCTAGTCAAGCACCAAGCCAGTTGGACTGGACGTTTCGCACAATGGACCGTAATAAGATAACTTACTAGCAATAATGGCTTAGAGCAAGCCAAAGATAGCAGAAAAAATTAGCATATGCAATGCTCAATTGGGTAGATCTGGCTCGCAATGTTTACTGATCGTCTGTGTTTGGTCTTGGATGGAGGATCACACTTGGGCCACAGGCGGGATCGTTCAGGGATCGATCGATGAGCGGGTCAAGCCACTGAGAGCAGCGATTCCACTTTCAGGGCATTATAAGATATTGGAGGAATCGAAGGATCCGATCCAGCCGGTGGAGGGATCCTTGGTTTGTCGGAGGAAAGAGAAAGAGGGTGGAACCGTCCGACCCGCGAGCCGTCATCGCTTAGCGGGTTCCGTCCCATACCGTATGATACTTTCGAAACTTATTCTTCTCCAGACATCTTCTTGGAAGTACAACACTGTCATAGCCCTGCATATACGACGACCTCACTATAAACATCCACCATCCACGTTCTTCTTCCAGTGGCTCTGAGCCTCCCGATCCCACCTCAGCAAACATGATTCTCACCATTCATGTGTATTCATCACCTTCGGTCAACTCTGGCGGAGTCTGGGACCGATAGTGGAGCTGTCAGAAAGTCTAGAGCAGACAGCGCATCGCCCTAACTGCTTAGACTGCCATTGTTATTGGAGCTGTTTCGAACTCCATGTTTGCTCGGTCAGCATCCTAGTCTATTAGGGCTCCGTTCTATTTCTCGCCGGCCATCCGAATCTCCATCAATAGCATAGGCTCGTGCCCATAGCGAGATACGAACATCTAGGCGATCTAAACAAGGGATGAACACTTAAAGGGTTGGCATTCCCCTTTTGGGGACCCCTCTTTCTCTGCTCAGGCTGCGTTCCCGTTCTGTCTTGCCTCTGCCTCTCACTGCCCTGAAGCCAACCCAATGGTTGCTCTCAAGGCCCTCAGTCTGGGCCTGCTTGCTTCGCAGGCCTGGGCCGTGCCCACAGCCTCCCATACGGCTCTCACCAGCCCAGCTGCATCCGACGTTGCCGTGGCTGCCGCAGCTGCCAAGCTCGAGCAATTGTCAAGCTATGCCCTTGACCAGACTCTGGCAAACCTTCCCAGCAGCTCCGAGGACAAGCAGGCCTGCACGCGAGAGACCCTGCGCATCCGCCGTGACTGGCGGACCTTCTCAAGGCCCGAGAAGAAAGACTACATCAACTCGGTGCTCTGTCTGCAGAAGCTTCCCTCGCGCACCCCATCGCATCTAGCCCCAGGTGCTAAGACTCGCTATGATGATTTCCTAGCCACGCATATCAACCAGACTCTGGAGATTCACTATACGGTACACGTTACTTGCCCAGAAGTCTAACCCCAACACTAACAAGAGTCTTAGGGAACCTTCCTCGCATGGCACCGCTACTTCACCTTTGAATTCGAGCAAGCCCTCCGTGATGAATGCCACTACGCAGGCGACTTCCCGTACGCCCCTCTTTCTCCCTCACCCCCTCACTCCCCAACTAACCTCAACTCACAGATACTGGGACTGGGGCTACGACGCCATCCACACAATGGAAGCGTCCGAAGTATTCGACGGCTCCGAGACCTCCATGTCCGGCAACGGCTACTACATCCCCAACCAAGGCAACATCTCCCTCTACCTCGGCGATTACGCCCCTATAATCCTGCCCCCTGGCACCGGCGGTGGCTGCGTAACCAGCGGGCCCTTCAAGAACTACACTGTGAACATGGGCCCCGCTGCGCTCTCCCTCCCTGGAGGCGGCACCGCCGCCGTCTCCAACCCCCTCAACTACAACCCCCGCTGCCTGAAGCGCAGTCTCACCACCGCCCTTCTGCAAGATTACAACACCTACCCCAAGATCACCTCGCTTATCCTGGACAATGACGATGTCTGGGACTTCGAGATGATCATGCAAGGTGTGCCAGGCAGTGGGTCGATTGGTGTTCATGGATCCGGACACTATAGTATGGGTGGGGATCCGGGACGAGATGTCTATGTTAGTCCTGGAGATCCGGCGTTCTGGCATCATCATGGTATGATTGATCGGGTTTGGTGGATTTGGCAGAACTTGGATTTGAAGAGTAGGGAGTATGCGATCTCGGGAACGGGAACGTTCTTGAATGAGCCGGCTAGTAAGAATACTACCTTGCAAACGGTTGTGGATTTGGGGTATGCCAAGGGAGTGCCGAGGAGGATGAAGGATTTGATGAGTACGACGAAGGGGCCGTTCTGTTATGCTTATGTTTAGATTGGGGAGGTGTGGGTGGATATCATGATACTGTTGGGAGTGATGGGTTGTATAGTTCTAGTGAGAATGTATATAGTATGTGTGATGCAAAAGTAAATGGCATGATCTTGTTGGTACGAGAGAATGTCAGAACCGGACTCATACAACAATTCATAGTATTTTCTTCCGTTTTACATGGTTGTTGGAGTTGGCAGTAATCCTAGAGTACTTGTCATATCCAATAGATCAATTGTTAGATGTATAGCAATGTAGTATCTAGCATCTCCGTTCCACTCCCTTCCGACTCATACAGATATATTTCACTCCCTTATATGGTTTCACTCCCTCGCCTAGTCCGCGACTCCGCCGCGGATCGATGTTCAGGCTCTCTACCTTGAGCCCCGAGGGAAGCCAGCCACGAACAGAGAACGACACCGCCGCCGAGTTAGGCATAAGTGTCGCGTTTAGTTGGGTCTTGGTTTTCCGGGGCGCCGAAAGGAAGAGGGAGGAATCGGAGTAGGCTCGGCTGGGTGATTGTTTCTGTGATTGTGACTGTGACCGGGGAAGTGACGGTGGGGGTTGCGGCGAGGATGATTGAACGGGCGGTGTAAGCGTCTGCGATTGTTCGGGTTCAGGAGTAGGAGTATGTGTGAGTTGTTCGGGATCCTCCAAGTTCAAGGAGAGGGGTTCAGCGGGCGAGGAAGCTGAGGCTTCTGCTGCCGCTGCCGCTGCTGCTGCGCGGGAAGATGATTTCTTGACAACCTTCTTCTTCTTCTTTTTCTTGGTCTTGCGTTTCGTCGTGTCTGCTTCAGGATTCTGGTAAGACGCGTTGGCGTCGTAGTAGCCCTGAAGGAGATTGGTGTCTGCGTCGATTTCTTCGACATCGTCGTCCAGCTCGTCATCCGCATAGTGTCCTACGACGGTGCACCGGAGCGTCGCCGTCCCGGAAATAGTGCCGGCATCTTTGGTCGGCACGCGCCATTCTAGTACGCCGTTGCCCGGTGAGAATAAAGCCTCTCCACGGCTGGCTTGCATGTCTGTGATGTTCCGGACCGATTTCGGAATCGGGACGGTCACCACAACCTCTTCTAGCGCTGGCGCTGAGGAGTTGCCGCCTCCACCCCCGAGAAAAGAGGGTGTGGACGTGCCTGATCCGCTACGCCCGACACCAGGTCGGCTGGAGGATGAGTATCCCGGGAAATTTGTGTTGAGAATAAGACGGACCTCAAAATCTGAGCCAGTCGGCCCAAGCGATTTACGGATGTCCACAATAGCCGGCAAGAAAAGCTTCTCCATATGACTCGGGGGTTGATCAAGTGTAGGGTCTGTTGGCATGAGGTCCACCTCGTACCCGGCAAGAATGAACCGACCGTCTGGTGGTACAAAGCTGAGCTCGCCAGGGTTCTCCCGCCAGCGCGCCAGGCGCACGCATGGGTGAAATACCGGCAACTCCAACTTACGTCCCAAAGCTTTTTGACCACCGGGTGCTGTTAACGAAAGAAGCAGATCAGGGACACCGGATATTTTGGCGGTGAAGGCGATAGTACCGGAAGACATCGCAGAGAGTATTCGCCCTGATGGCGCCATCGTCACGGAAAGTGACTCGATAATATCAACATAGAGCTCGTTGGAAGTGTGTCTCACCCCGGACTTTCTCCAGGGGATCGCAGGTCCTTGGGCCGCGGCGGCGGCTGATTGCTTCATGGCACTGGGTTGTCCCAGAATCGGTGTCGATGATCTGCGCATAACAAAGGCCGTCAGTTCACTGAATATAGCATGGTGACCTTCATCCGGTAATAGTGGGCACTTACCCAGGCAATCCAACGCCGCCTAACAGCTTCCCCATCCATCCTGGCATTTCCACTACCTCCTGTAGCGCATTGGGCTCTGTATTGCAAACAACCCCCGCATCGCACATTTCGTGCAGAAGCTGTGCGACCACATCATAGTTCGCTTGGATCTTGGTGGAAAGCAATGGTGCTCCAACGAAGTCCTCGAGAACATCAACAACCCGATGAATGAATTCCAAGGCAAGTAGCGGTTCCGTATCGACCTCGGACAGCGCCAAGAACAGCAGGTTGGACTGCACTACCGAAAACACTGTCACCGGCGGAGTTGTGTTTGGAAAGTAGATGAGTGACGGGCGCGGAGCTGCATAGGCGTTATAGAGGGGGAGAATGGCCGATGCGGAGGGCGGACGGGAGCGATAGACCTGCTCGACGATCGGATTGCTGGAAGAGGACAGGTCAGTGACTGCTGGAAGTCAGAACATTGGAAGGAACGGCGTGCCTCTGCTCATCATAGATATAGAGCGCATCGACCTGGCCGCTCATGATGGCGAAGGCGACCTATCCCGACCGGTGGGAGTGTAATGTAGTAGGCAGAGGTGGTCATGGTGTAGCAATGATGGTCGGTGATCCAGCGGCCCCCATTTAGCGGAGTCCAAAAGCCCCTCGTTCTGCCGCCGATCCCCGCCTTTTCATGCATTTCCTCTGAATGGCTGCAGCTCGCCGCAACGAGCTAGTCTCCTTGATCGAGACTCGTCTGGACTGCTCTCTAAAAGACCTTTTTTGTCTCTCGTTGATTCTCTAGAACAATGTCTTCGTCTACCCAGAATAACAGCGCCTTGGATGTCCAGCCCAAGGACGCGAAGCGTGCACTTGCGGAGGACGCATATGATGACTGCCTATCGTGCAGAGTCACTGGTATTCTAATCTTTGTTTCTGGGCGATAATCATGGTACTATAGCTAATCTGATGGCTTACAGGATCCGCCGCATTCATCGGCCTCGGTGTGTACAGTTACTACTCGGGATTGAAGAACCTCAAGATGAATGAAAAGGCAATCATGCAAGGAACAACCAAGTATAAGATGGGATCTCGACATCTCGGGCTCTTCACCATCTCTGCGACACTAGTTGGGATGGGAATTTATAGAGCCTTCAACTGATGAAGCCACGACGATTTGTATATCATGTACTCTATACCATATATTCTACTCTGGCGTTGGTTCTTCTGGTAACGGGAATGCACATCAAGTCAAGCGCTTCACCACTAATAAACATGTACAAAGCAGTATATAGAAAGGATCGTACGATTAATATAACACTAGCCGCCTCACCGGGTATCGCCATGTCTGATAACCTCTATATTTAAATAGTAATGATGACCGAAGGAAATGGGATATGACAAGGAAAAGGTGTAAGCAAAGAGAATATGAGCACAAGGATAGAATGAAGATGACTGCGGAAAGATGACCCGTGGCCCACCAAAGGGCCACATGCAATACTCCTACTAATGCACCGAAAGAGAAACAAAGAAGAAACCACAAAGAATGCAATTGACCGCTGCGTGACCGTGAGAATATATGCTCGTCTATTCGTCGATACCATATTTTCTAGGTGAAGCGGCCACGTTTGCCGCCCCCAAATATGTCTCGATTGCCTAGACCAGACAAGTCGAAGAAATCGGGCACGTTCAGCTTTCGTTTCGAACCGATCCCGACGGACGGTTCATGAGGGGACGACCGAGTGTTTGAGCGGGTGAAGTTATTATGACGATTCTGTTGCCGGGCGTTTCGAGGCAAAACGGAGACGCTGACCGGGGCACCATCTTGAGACGCTGGAGTCGAACTGTCGGTGGTTTGCATGTCCATGTCTTGTTCTGGGAATTGCGGAAAAGTGGGCCCGGCAGTAAACGTGAAGATAGTTGGACGATCGAAGTCGTTTGATTCAGAGGCATGAGGGGTCGAAGGTGTTGGCAGCTGTTGCTGCGGCGGAGCTGGAGCTTGCTCCTCCGACGATAACTTGGAAGGCTGTCGGATCGGTTCGGATTCTGGCTGTGCCTTGCGGGTGGCAGCCGGCGTTGCGCCTCTGGTTTGTTTCTCAACCTCATCATCGTCGCTAGGGGCACCACTTCCATCACTCCGTTCCGTGGCCCATTGCCGAACTTTCCAGCCCTCCCCGTCTCCAAGACCGAGGTTCTCCCGATCTAGAAAGTGTAGTAGATCCTCAATTGCTTCTTGGTATCCAGCTTGCTTGGCTTGCGACTGTTCGTAGACAGCATTCTTGTAGAGATTCGTGACGGAGAGAGCAGCAGCCTTGAACGACTGTAGGAGCTGCTCAGGAGGTTGTGGCCGAGGCGTGGAGCTGGGCAGTGACGTGTTTAGGGATCTCATCGAGTCCATGGTGTGTGGTGTGGTGGCAGAAGCAGTCTGCCTGGGAGACTTTTGACAATAAATACTAGCGTTGGCGTCACTAGGAGGGGTGACTTGAACCGTGCTTCTGGGAAACAGGGGGTTAGGCAAACTCCGAGGCAACCCCAACAAAGATCAGGAAGAGGCAGATATGACTGATAGTCTGGACTAAAAGAGACAGGCCCAAAGAGGGGGCGTTATAGAGGAGAAACAACAAGTTCCGCAGGCTAACAAAGGACGTTGGCTGGCGATGACCGTTCGGAAAGGACGCTGGCGCAGCTGATCTTTCTTTGCGTCTGTCCCGGTAACGTGACCCACAGCGGGGAAACTGGTCTTCCGCCGCCTGCTGACTCAGAAATGACTCAGTCACGCCCTCGCGTCTCCCGTCCAATGAGCGCGTGCCCTGGCCGCGCTTCTCCGACGAAATTCCATTTGCCATCCCATGAGCGCGACTGGCGGTGCTTCTTCGTCCTTTCATCATCCGTCACTGTTTGTTCCTTTCGCACCTCCTTTGTGCGCCCCCCCCAACCTCAATTTCTCCCACCAGATCCTCTACAGCCAGCTTTTCAAGAGGTCGTGGATCTTACATATTTCTACGGTCTTGTCGATAGCTTCCTACCCTAGGTTGTTTTAATATCAACTCGTGTTCCGCTTCGTATAGTACCGAACAGCTGCGCTCGGTGCGCTGTGGATGGTGATGGCTCCTTCAGTTGAACCGACTCCCGACTCGCCGTCACAGGCAGATACCCCTATGACAGACGCGAATGCTGAGCCTGTCACGTCGGTACCCGTGGATAGCGCAGACGCGCCGATGACGGTGAGTTAGCGCAAAACCCCTCTTTGCGCCATGTATTATCTTCATGCGCGTCCTGGGTTTAACGGCAAAGCGCTCCCGCTGACAATAATCCTAATTCAGGGCTACCAGGACACTCCAGACTACACGGTAAATGCAACTCAATAACTCAGCGATCTGCCTGACGCATGAGCCGACTGACACAAATTAGGACTCAGATACGAACCCAAATACCACGGCGAGCAGTGTTGCAGGCGACGCAGCGCCTTTGGATGGCCGGAGACGGAGGTCTGAAGCTTTCCACATGAGAAAAAGTATCTTGGGCAAGAAGCATGGTCGTTTGGATGAGTCGAAGGTACGCCAATGCGATTGTCGTTTTTGATGATTTGTCGCTCACGGTGTGTTTTACTATAGGAAGATGATTCTATCCGACGATTTCGCTACCTCCTCGGCTTGACCGACTTATTCCGTCATTTCATCGAAACCAACCCTAATCCGCGGATCAAGGAGATCATGGCCGAAATCGACCGGCAAAATGCTGAGGAGGAGGCAAAGGCTAAGAAGAAGGGCTCGTCGCGCTCAGGCGGTGCAGGTAGTGAAAGGCGTCGCAGAACAGAGCAAGAAGAAGACGCCGAGCTGTTGAAGGATGAGAAATCCGGCGGCGAAACCAACACGGTCTTTCGGGACTCCCCGCCGTTCATCAAGGGGGAAATGCGCGATTACCAGATTGCAGGATTGAACTGGTTAGTTTCGCTGCATGAGAACGGTATTTCAGGTATTTTGGCGGATGAAATGGGCTTGGGCAAGACTTTGCAGACCATTTCTTTCCTTGGCTACCTCCGACATGTATGCGATATCACCGGCCCGCACCTCATCGCCGTCCCGAAATCTACCCTCGATAACTGGAAGCGGGAGTTTGGAAAATGGACACCTGAGGTCAATGTGCTTGTCCTTCAGGGTGACAAAGAACAGCGACACAAGCTGATCAATGAGGAGCTTCTCGATGAGAACTTCGACGTTTGTATCACTAGTTACGAGATGATTCTTCGAGAAAAGGCGCACCTTAAGAAGTTCGCTTGGGAGTACATCATCATCGACGAGGCCCATCGGATCAAGAACGAGGAGTCTTCTCTGGCGCAAATCATCCGTGTTTTCCATTCCAGGAACCGACTACTGATTACCGGTACCCCACTTCAAAATAATCTCCACGAGCTTTGGGCCCTCCTCAACTTCCTGTTGCCGGATGTTTTCGGTGATTCTGAGGCATTCGACCAATGGTTCTCCGGACAAGACTCCGATCAGGATACAGTCGTGCAACAACTCCATCGCGTTCTGCGACCTTTCTTGCTTCGCCGTGTCAAGAGTGACGTTGAGAAGAGTTTGCTGCCAAAGAAGGAGGTCAATCTTTACGTCCCCATGTCGGACATGCAGGTCAAGTGGTATCAGAAGATCCTCGAAAAGGATATTGATGCGGTCAATGGCGCCGCCGGCAAGCGTGAGTCAAAGACCCGTTTGTTGAATATCGTCATGCAACTTCGCAAATGTTGCAACCATCCCTACCTTTTTGAGGGTGCAGAGCCTGGCCCACCCTACACCACCGATGAGCATCTCATCTACAATGCTGGAAAGATGACGATCCTTGACAAATTGCTGGCGCGTATGCAGAAACAGGGAAGTCGCGTACTCATCTTCTCCCAGATGAGTCGTGTCCTTGATATTCTCGAAGACTACTGTGTTTTCCGCGAATACAACTACTGCCGCATCGATGGTACAACGGCCCACGAGGACCGAATTGCTGCTATTGACGAGTACAATAAGCCGGGATCAGAGAAGTTCATCTTCCTGCTCACAACAAGAGCCGGAGGTCTTGGTATCAACCTGACGACGGCCGATATTGTCGTTCTCTTTGATAGTGACTGGAATCCTCAAGCTGATTTGCAAGCAATGGATCGTGCCCACCGTATCGGACAGACGAAACAGGTCGTGGTGTTCAGGTTTGTTACAGAGAATGCGATCGAAGAAAAAGTCTTAGAACGTGCCGCACAGAAGTTGCGGCTCGACCAGCTTGTCATTCAACAGGGACGCGCTCAGCAGCAGACCAAGAATGCCGCGTCCAAGGAAGAATTGCTGGGTATGATCCAGCACGGAGCTGCCAATGTTTTCAACACTCAGGCCAACACCACCATATCTGCGGAACACCAGATATCCGAAGATGATATTGACAACATTCTGCGAAAGGGCGAAGAGCGGACTGCGCAATTGAACAAGAAGTACGAAAAGCTTGGTATCGACGACTTGCAGAAATTCAGCTCCGAAAGTGCGTACGAATGGAACGGCAAAGACTTCACTGATCGCAAGAAGGACATTGGTATCAACTGGATCAACCCCGCGAAGAGAGAGCGAAAGGAACAGTTTTATTCTATTGACAAATACTATCGCCAGGCTTTGGCAACTGGTGGTAGAACGGCTGATCCCAAGCCCAAGGTTCCTCGGGCGCCAAAGCAGATCACTGTCCATGATTGGCAGTTCTTCCCGCCTGGGCTTCAAGAGCTGCAGGAGAAGGAGACCGCCTACTTCCACAAGGAAATCGGATACAAGGTTCCTCTGCCTGATGGTCCAGAAGAAGAGCTGAGCGAGCGCGAGGCCGAACGTGATCTCGAACAACAGGAGATTGACAATGCAGTGCCACTAACGGAGGATGAGCAGGCGGAGAAGGCGAAGATGTCTGAAGAAGGCTTTTCCAACTGGAACCGCAGGGATTTCCAACAGTTCGTGAACGGTTCGGCCAAGTTCGGCCGTACTGACTACGTTGGAATCGCCACCGAGGTGGACAGCAAAGAGCCGGAAGAAATCGAGGAGTACGCGCAAGTATTCTGGGAGCGGTACACTGAAATCCAAGATTATCCCAAGTACCTCCGTGTCATCGAGCAGGGCGAGGATAAACTGCGGAAGATGAACCACCAACGCAAAATGTTGCGCAAGAAGATGGAAATGTACCGCGTACCACTCCAGCAAGTCAAGATCAACTACACTGTGTCTACCACCAACAAGAAGGTCTATACGGAAGAGGAGGATCGGTTCTTGTTGGTAATGTTAGACAAATATGGAGTCGATGGCGAAGGTCTCTACGAGAAGATCCGTGACGAAATCCGCGAGTCTCCCCTCTTCCGGTTTGACTGGTTCTTCCTTAGTCGAACCCCAGTCGAAATTGGACGTCGGTGCACCACCCTGCTGAACACCGTGGCAAAGGAATTCGAAACCGACGGAAAGGCCAACGGTGAGAGCGGCAAGGGCCGGGGACGTGACCGCGACGACGATGAAGCCGAGGAGGATGAGGGCCCACCCGCCAAGAAGAAGACGAAGGGCGGTGCAGTTGTAAGTTTCCTTGACATTCCTACCATCCATAATCACAATAGAGGAGCTCGACTAACCTACCCACAGAATAAGCAAGTCAAGGCCGTCAAGGGTGGCAGCAAGGCAACTTCTACCTCAACATCGCGGGCAGCCAGTGTCTCTTCCAATGCGGCACCCAAGTCGAGGAGTCGCAAGAAATGATCTCTTTCTGTAATCAGAAGTGGGCGATGACGAAGGATTGTTACGACTATTCTGTAGACTGTTTGGGAAGCCATTTTGAGGAGGGAAGGTTTGTTGGTTCTATTTTGTTCCATATATGTCGGTCTGGCGTTGGCAGATAGATGCCATTGTAGTTTTATGATCATCTTCCATCTCCTTCGCTTCTGTAAAATGACACTTTGTGGTTAAAAAGACCTTATGAATGTTGTCTTCCATCACATAGTGCACTCGAAACCGTAATTTGATCATCCAGTATATTACTCAGCTCGGTGACTTCTGTGGTTGAATGCTCAAGCACAGGCAGAGAAGGAGCTCTTCATACCTCGACTGGTCATGATTGCTTAGTTTGTATGGTAGTCTTGAGAGATTTCATGTTTGAGAAAAGCCTCTCAGTATATTAGTATGCTATGAATTTATACTATGCGATTCAGACGTATGTGTACATATGATGTCGTTGATATTACTGTACAGATGCTCCCTCACCAGACCCTAGTATCCTCCTTCTTGGCCCATGACACCGGCACCCGAAGGAACATATTCATCAACAAAGCAGCCGCAACGCTGACATTGAGACTGTCCACTCTAGCCGGATCTGACTCCACGCCCAACTCTGGGCTGATTTTAGCACCAGGGATGCCAACAACAGCATTTGCCTGGGAAAGGATGTGGGGGCTCAGCCCCGCGCCCTCACTGCCCATCATAATGACACTCGGTGCCTGGGCAACAGTGCCCTCATTCCCAAACTCGGCAGGGTCCATATATACAGATGAAGATCCCTTGCCCGGCGCATCAGCGGCGTAGAACCGCCACCCATTTTCTTTTGATTGTCGAATGAATTCGACTTCATTTCGCACGTGAAGAAATGTCATATGTTCT